CCCCCCCCCCCCCCCCCCCCCACACACACACACACACACACACAAAAGAAGCATTTTTTTCATCAGAAACCATAAAAGCAATAAACTATTCTTGCGGCTTTTTCCTCCAAAAGCTATTTTAGTGTAAACCTTCGCCTCCGATTCCTCGCGCGCGCTGTAATGCTCTGAAAGACCACCAGAAAGGATGAAGACCACCAAGTCCAGAGAGGACGGGGAAAGACAAAACAGTTAATTTTCAAAGAGGTTTTTTTTGTAAATGTTTCTTCGCTTCATTCGCTTGGTGACGCTGGGTCACGTGATCAAAGGATGCGGAGTGGATGGGGGGTATAAATCCACGCAGAGGACCCGCCCCCTGTGAGATTCAGCTCCAGCCGTTCTGCGGGTCTCAGTCGGGCTCGCGCGCCTTTTAGACCCAAACAAAAGCAAACTCATGGACACGCCGAGCCGGGACACTTGTCTCCTGTCCTGTCCTCAGCCATGACTCTGAGCTCAGACATGTCCGACGCCTCCCTGCTGTCCGAAGAGACCGACATCGATGTGGTCGGGGAGGGCGAGGACGGGGACAAGACCCGGTCCTCCTACGTGGACGAGGTGGCGCAGATGGACGGCATGCTCCTGGACACCTCCTCCTCCTCCTCGTCCTCCTCCTCGTGCAGGGACTCCTACAAGCCGGCGGGCAAGAACCCCCTGGTGAAGCCCCCCTACTCGTACATCGCCCTGATCACCATGGCGATCCTGCAGAGCCCCAAGAAGAGGCTGACCCTCAGCGAGATCTGCGACTTCATCAGCAGCCGCTTCCCCTACTACCGGGACAAGTTCCCGGCCTGGCAGAACTCCATCCGGCACAACCTGTCCCTCAACGACTGCTTCGTGAAGATCCCGCGGGAGCCCGGGAACCCCGGCAAGGGCAACTACTGGACCCTGGACCCGGAGTCGGCCGACATGTTCGACAACGGGAGTTTCCTGCGGCGCAGGAAGCGCTTCAAGCGGCAGCAGAGCCAGGACCTGATCCGGGACCACAGCGGGTTCGTCCCCGCAGCCGCAGCCTATGGCTACGGACCGTACGGCTGCGGGGGGTTCGGGATCCAGGTCCAGTCCTACCACGCGCACTCGGCGCTGTTTGCCTTTCAGCAGCAGCACAACAACAGACACTCCATGATCCCGTCCCCGACCCTGATGCCCACCAGCACGGACCTAACCAGAACCAGGTTCTACCCACAGCTCAGCCCCGGTCTGGGCTCAGCGGGCGCACAGGCGGCCTCCCCGGTACACAAGTCCAACTCCCCGGCGCAGCGGTCTCCCTTCTCCATAGAGAGCATCATCGGAGGCCCGCTGCGGCCCTCCAGGACTTCTCCGGTCGTGGTCCCGGTCTTACCGAGCTCCCTGGGGCCTCCGGGGACCAGCCAGACTGTTTTACACCCGGTTGAGAACTTTCAGAACCGAATCGTGGGCGGCACGAGCGCCTGTTAAACGCGTGCACTTAGAAACCGAGCAGCCAAAAACAAAACGCGCTCCTCTTGAAGGTAGGATTCTTTTTGTTTGTTTGTTTGTTTAAAGGTGCTCAGTGCAAACAAGACACGTGCAAATTCAAACAGGAACAAACAAAACGCTCATATAAATGCGTTGTTTGATTAAATTAAAAGTGTGTAAGTAAAATATTGCCCGAGTTGTTTCACTGAAAATGGCTCCGGTTTGGTTCTGAAAGTCCCAACATTTGATTCAGCTCAGATGAGACAAGCTCCACTTGTTGCCACAGAGTCAGTCTTTGTTGACACTGAGTGCGGACCCACATTTCATGTTTACATCCGTGTCTGAAAAAGTAGAACTCTTTGCACCATCTGCTTCAGAGTTCTCCCGTTTGCTTTGTACTGGGAACCATTAAAAGCTGCAGTGAGTGATGGAGACAACACACAACCTGTGCCTCCGTGCATGTTTATAACTTTTATATTTATATTATTCTCCTGTTTTTTGTTGCGCGTGAAGCAGAAACCACAAACTTTTCTTTGTCTTTTAGTTTCAGCCACTGTTCAGGGCCTCTCAGGACTTCACCTTTTTATTTGTGTCAAACACAGTTTTCTATAAACAAATCTAAACTTTGATTTGAACTTTGTATAAAAATGACCACAGAGCAACATTTATAATTATATGCAGTGTGTGTTGATTTGAAGCAATAAAAAACTTGTACATTTTCATTTTAGTAAGTTTTGTGTAACTCAAGTGTGATTATTTTTTACACGGTTTGTTTACAACGAAAATAAATTTCTTTTTACAAAAAATAATTTATTAGTTTATGTTGCAGATCCAAACTTTACACTGCAGCTGTGTGTGTGTGTGTGTGTGTGTGTGTGTGTTAAACGCCACAGGTATGATCTAATCCAGTGCGTATTTGGAACCATTGCGCGCGCCTCTGACCCCTCTCTCACTCATCCTCGTTAACTGTGGTGCGCGCGGAGAAACGGGTGAGACAGGGGGCTGCTGATGCGGACAGTCGGATGGACCT